GGTGTGTGTGTGTGTGTGGCCAGCTCAGCCCACCAGGGGGCGGGGCCGGCTGGCATGTGGTGCCGGGGGATCGAACCGCGGTCCCTGATGCTTCGCTAAGCTTGTTCCAAGTAGGTGCTTTAGACCACTGAGCCATCTCTCCAGCCCCTTCTCCCTACTTCTTTCTTCTCTGTCTTCCACCTTGCTATGTATATGGGTATATATTTTGAGTTTTCCATAGAAGAGAAACCATGCAAAACATGGGGTATCTGGCTGGCCTGTGGTTGATAATTTGAATCCTATCCATCAAAATGTTATTAAATTCAAGTGACACATTTTGCCCATGAGTCTGGCCCATTTTGTTCAACACTGTGTTTCAGAAGCCAGTTTTTGACCCAGGAAACCAGGAAGCCACCCAGTTACAACAGCCAGGTGCACATGCCAACCAAAGTAACCAACACAGCGTTCCTCAGATGTAATCATTTAAAGACTAGAGTAGCTCTGCAGCTATAGAGTTGGGTGGCAATTAAAGTGCACAGGATGTATCTTTGTGCATGTCCTCCTGATCAGTGTATTGCTTCAGGCAGCTGAATTAGATAGAAATATTATAGGCAGATAGACAGGGCCAGGCCCTCAAGGAGACAAGATGGAAGACAAGGTGACTTTGCAACTTGGAAGAGACAGACACTTCCATATGGGCCACACCTCAAGACCCCCAATAAATATATTCTGCTTATAACCTCCATTTGTTCCTAAAATTCATTCTTCAGTTTTAGATAACACCAACACATCCCAGGTACCTTTCAGGCTGGGAGTTTCCTTTTTCCCCTGTATCATTTGGAGGTCATCCACTGAGATCATTTTCCACCTGTATCATTTGGAGGTTCCACCAAGATCATTTTCCCTGTATCATTATCACACATAAATGAGCACTGTTGCCCTGCTGTGAACGTCAGGAGACTCATCAACGTGGCTTTTGTATGATGGCAGCTGATTAATGTTCTCTACAACTGTGCCTCACCATCCTCTGGTGCTTTATCAGTTCATCCTATTCTGGTGCTAGCAAAGAGAGGCACATGTATCACCTTTGAACTACAGTTTCTCCTAAAACATCACAACAAATTCGTTAGCAGCAGCCAAGTGCAACTCTTCACTACCAGGAAAGCATTGCCTTCACTCCAATTAGACAGTAAGAATGAGCCCTCCAGTGCAGACACACAGATGAAGCAGTGGCCTTTAATAACGGCTTCTGTTTACTTTTTAAAAATTTATTTATTTGATACATGATCTTGCTTTGCAGCTTGGGCTCGTAGTGATCCTCCTGTTTTAGCCTCCCCAGGGCTGGGATTACAGGTATGCACCACCACACCTGGTTTTAGTGGCTGGCACGGCATGCCTGGTATTCTAGGGCCAGCACAGCACGTGGTACAGGAATCGAACCCAGGTCCTTTCACTTGCCAGGTAGGCACTTAGGCTGCTGTGCTATCTCCCCAGTTCTTCTTTTTTGTCTTTTGAAAAACTCCGAAGGTTTCTCTTTTAATGCAGGGTGGTTTGTCTCCATGTAGGAAAGCTATTTTGAAGGTTTCATAGCTTCACTGGATAGCCAGTTGTCACATCCACAAGGCAGCCTTACAGACTGAATCACCTGTTGCAATGAACTCCTAATTTAAGCAGGCTTCTTGGAATTTTCTTGAAATGCAGCTGTCTTTTTATTGGCAGTATGAAAGTCTTCTGCAGACCCATCACGGAGTTTCTTCCTCCTTTGCCAAAAGAAGCTCTCTGGTGAACTTTGTTCTTTACTCATTTTAGCCTAGGTATCCAACAAGCGAGGCTCCAGGCCAAAGTTTAAGAAGACTGGAAGGGGAACAGGACAGCCAATGTTTTGTCTTTTGCCCTCCACAATCATCCAGGTCCCAGGAAATGACAGGACCCCTCTAAGATGACCCTACAATTTTGGGGAGTCACCCAACCTCCCAAGTTGGGGGATTGTTGGAGCCCCGAGGACAGGAGTTAACTCATATATATTCTACAAAAAAAGAGGCTTACAAAGAGGAGAATGTCCCTGTGCTTCTAAGGGAAGCCCTAAGGGGACGGAGGATCATGACCCATCCCAGCAGATAGCACAACTGGAGAGGGAAAAGTAGAGCTGCAAGAGGCGCCTGACACAGCCCCATAAAAACCCTTGAGAAACCTTGACTTGACTAACTCTGACAAACAGATTCTGTTTGATTAATACAGGTTTTATGTTGACCTGTTGTTTTGTTTTGCTTCTCTCAGTGCTGGGATCTGAACTTAGAGCTTTGCACATGCTTGGCAAGCACTGAGCTACATTGCCAGTCTTTGGCTTAGTCTTAAACACCTAGCAGGACAGTATAGCCCCGAAATAAAATAATTCAATATAGCATACAAAGAAAGCTAAGCTGAATCTTAGAAGGGGCTCCCAGCCCTTTATCAGCTATTGCTGGCCTTATCCAAGCTCCCCTGTGATGCCTTAGCCTACTGCAACATGGGGACCACCCTCCAGCCCCACTACCCTCTGCTGTTCAGCATGCCTGCAGAATGTGTCCCCCCTACTTCAGATCCAAGTTAGGCTTATGACCCTTGGTGCATTTACCAAAACAAAACAGTTTGTACAAGATGGAGACAAGTCTAAATTGCAATTTCTGTGACCAATGCTCATGACTCAGTGCCGGCCCAGGCACAGTGGCACATTCTGCGTGTGGTGGTGTAGGGGACCGTGGTTTTCAGTGTATTAACTTATCCTAGCCAAAGTAGCTCCAGTTTAGCCTCTAACCTACCTTAGAGATGGGAGATACCTGGGCAGAGTCAACTCTCCATGCCCCTGCCTGGACAGTCCCACTCCTGTCCCTTTCTTGTTAAGATATTATAGAAATAAAGGAGAAAAGAGAGAATAGACAGAACTAATTGCAGAAAGTGTGCTATGCCTTATGTCATCACAAACTCCCGTGACTGAACCTTGACCCACCATAGCGACAGCCAGAGTCACTAACTACAACATTCCAGTCGTGGTTGTCCTAGAAACCAAAAAGGTATTTAAGCTGAGACAAAGGAAGAAGGGGCTGACATTCCTGACTCGCTAATCAGGAATGCTCAGCCAGTTTGCCCAATTGGAATAAACTGTTTTCCCCACATGTTCTTCCTCTCTTGTGGCATTGCCTCACAGTACTGCAATGGATGTTCTAAAAGGATAATGGTTCTTCCAAAAACAAACCCCAATCTCCTAGCCAGGTGTGGTGGTGCATTCCGATAATCCCAGTACTCAGCAGGCTGAGGCAGTCTGATCACCATGAATTGGAGGCCAGCCTGAACTATGTAGTGAGACTTTATCTCATAAAAGTAAAATCAACCAACCTCCTTATGTCTTCTGTAGGTCAGTCAGAACAGGGCTGTGATCACTAACTAGCCAGCGTCAACACTCTACTCATACACAGCCTACTAATTCTCTTGATGCCTCTCACAGATGTGTCTTGAACATTCTTTTTCTGTGAACCAATCCCACGAATGGGGTGAGTTTAGGTCCCCATCATCTCTTTGGGGGATCTCCTCAGATTCTAGCCAATGATAATAGGACAGTGGGGCCCAGTGTCCCTGGGCCCCTTGTCTGGACCCTCTCCTGGCCTTCCCTGTGGTCAGGACCCCTGTGTCGCCTCCTGTGTCACCTGGAGCCCCAGCCTCCCTTTCTCTGGCCAGCAGCCTTCTGCTCTGCCCTTGTGCTCTTCATTGTGTGAACAGGGGAAGCCCTGATCGCTCAGGTCTCTCCTCACCCATCCTCCTCTGCTCCTTTGCTCCTCAGATGCCGTCACCACTTTCTTTTTGGCTCAGTCCCCCCTCCCACCAGGCCCTAAGCTGGCCTCCATGCAGAGGCTCCTCTCTAGGAAGGAATAGGTGACAGGACTGGGTGGGGTTGACAGGAGCACAATGAGGAGGCCTCTAGGGAGCAGCAAGAGTTGGATGGAGAAAAAAACAGTTGGATGGAAGAGGTGTCAGGTCAGGAACCCCCTGGGAGACTGATACCCAGAAAAGGCAGGGAGCCTCGCAGTCCCCACCCACACGCAGCCCAAGGAGGCCCTGGGTCACTGCCATGGGCCTGAGACCAGATGCTGAGGCCCTAACCCAGAAGTTGGGATGTGGATTGTGTGTGGAGACAGGCCCTCGGGTAGGACCTGATGCAGTGTGTCCGATGGCCTTGTCAGAGGAGGGGAGCAGGACATAGGGATGCCAGGGACACATGTGCACTAGAAGGACTATGTGGAGACACAGAGAGAGGCAGCCATTAAGGTCAGGAACAGAAGCTGCCACAGAAACAGTGCCGCCAGCTCCTCGGTCAGGGCCAGCTGGCCGCGAGTCCCTGAGGGAGCTGCTCTGGTGTCATGGTGCCTTGACTGTGGCATCTTAGCATGGCCTTGGGACTCACAGTGATTTCACCAGGGAAACCTGGAGGGGGTTCACTGGGAACTCAAGTCTGCCTCAAGGAACATTTCCAAATTGTCACCGGCCAGGGTGGGTCCTTGCTTACAGTAGAAATTAAAATTAACAGGGAGGCTCTACAGGCAAAGGTTTTTATTGCAAAGTAAGAGAACACAGGAGACCTCAAGTCTGCCTTGGGGTATATTTCTGAAATCTCTATGCTCACACATTTATATTTAGTTAAGAATAAGATGCAGGTACGGTGGAGTCTGGGGTCAGAGGGGTCCTCAGGAACACACGTATAATAGTTTTCTTTGACCACAGCATGGGCGAGCTTGCCTTGGAGCTGGAGAAGCCTGAGACTCTTGTCTGGGAAATGCAAATTCTAGGAGGATGGAGGATGCTGAGGAGGAAGCAGGGGACGAAGGAAGGGGTGGATGCTGCAGCAGACGCACTGGAGGGCAGGAGGGAGAGGGCACAGAGCGACCTCCGATCTCAGCTGGGAAGGCGGAAGACAGCTGGGGCAAGAGGAGAGAGCCAATGGAGGCTCACTCAAGCAGCTCCTCCAGGATGTGGAAGTACTTCAGAGAGTTCTGGTGGAGATGGGGCCAAGGCTCAAAGTACTCGTTGCCATTGTACACAAAGCGTCTCCAGCAGTCTAAAAAATCTGAGATAAAGAAGGGAGAAGACATCAGAGCCCCCAGGCTTCGTCAGGGCCCCCATGCTCACCGCCCACCACACAGTGAGGGTCTGATCCCACTGTGGTGTGCTGATCCCAGTCTCCTGCACCCCCGCAAATCTTCACACTCCCATTTCTCACCACGAAAAAACATGATATTCACACTGGCCCCTTCATTAAGCAGTGCTTGAAGCCCTTCCCCACATGTGGGCTCCTGGTAGTAGTAGAGGCGGGCAACATAGATAGTCAGGGTCACGTTGCGGTGATTGGCCAGGAATGCTGCCAACTCTTCCATACATTCCTCGCAGGGGCTCCAGGACATGTACCAGGTAACCTCGTAGGATGCATAAGGGCACAGCCAGGAGTCATGGAACCAAGAGAGGAAGCGGAGTTCTGCGTGGAGTCTATATGGACCAACCTGGGACAGGTGGAAAAGAAGGGCGAAGTCCCTGGTTGGAGGGGCAGGCAGCACAGGGTGGGGCCCCAGGCATCTCATTCCTGGACTCCCCTTCTCTCTAGACCCCCCATACACTAGACCCTGCACCTATCCTGAGCAGCAAGCACTCTGAGCCCCTGCTCCCACTCATCTCATTCCCCCTGCTGTGCTGTCCCCAGGGGCCCATGGCCATAACTGCATTTGTCTGAGTGGAACCAGCAGCTGAGAGAAATACACAGCTCCCTGCCTACTTTGTGGAGTGCTCATTCCCTATGAAAGATAAGGGGAACTAATACGGTAGGTGTACTGGACTCTGTCAGTCATTCAAAATACTTCCATTCATATCTAGCAACTTTTTAAACTGTGGGCACTAGAAAGATGGGTTTGATCTGGGGCTAGCTCTGCTTTAGAGTGAGCCTGTTCCCGCAGAGGGTCTAGGCCCAAAGCACTGGAAAAGCCGAGGTCTAGGAGACAGAGGGGCAGGTGTGAGGTGAGACATTTGCAGGTGGCAGGTGGGGGTGGTGCTGGGACTGCAAGTGCTGGTCACCTGGAAGCCCCAGTGAGGCTGGACACCTGGGGCAGTGTGAAGAGGGGCTAGGTGCTGTGACAGCTGATCCTTCATGCGGGTCTTGGGTGTGGCAGGGACAGAATCCAACAGCCCAGCAGTCACAGGACAGATAAGGCACTGGGGGCTGGGGTGCCTGACCACTGAGATGTCCTGACTTCACGTCCCACTAGATGCATGGCCAAGTGACAGACCCCAGGACAAGTGGAACAACACTTGATAGAGTGGAACAACACTTTGTGAGAAGTCGCAGGCTGTTGTTACCAGAGTTCAGGACAATCAGGCTGGAACAGCAGGCCCGAGGACTCCGTCGTGTGAATTTCTGATCATTTGTTCTGTGTTCTCACTTGTCTAGTTTCCTCCTGGACCATACCTGGTTTATAAACATCCCCTTGCGGAACTTGTTGTCCTGAAGCCTTGTTACTTCGAAGCACAGGAAGGTCTTACGCCGATGATCAGCATAGTGCAAGTTTTCAAAGTGGAAGTAGAATGCCTTTTGAAACAGCCCTTTCATAGGTCCTCTGCGGGCACAGGAGAGAATACAGAAACGTCAGCACTGACCCACAGGCACTCCAAGCCATTGTCCACTAAACGCGGTCCCCAGAACCCCAAGGACCAATGCCTCCCACAGCTGTCCAGGTCCTGAGAATCCTGCAAATTTCCCAGATAGGAAGATAGGCGAGGGGCAGAGGAGGGCACGGGCCACAGGGTTCCCTCCCCACTCTGGGGCTCAGCTCTGGTCCTCCCAATGGAACACCCCACCTCCAGTGTTTTCCTACCCATCCGTCTCCAAGTCAGGAGAACATGTCAAAGACACAGAACCCTTCCCCCACAAAGACTAACTTCTAGCCTTTCACTTCATTCATTACTGACTTTCCATCTCTGCAGCCTATTTTTGGGGCTTGGGCTAGGATCACCAATCTTCTGCTTTGGGGTACAGGTGGCCAGAACCCAGGGGTGGGCTAGGATTATGGGGTACACTGTCCTTGGCCTTTATGAGGTGCACATCATGATTGGGGGTGTGCTGGTGGGCTGTAGGAAGCGGTGGGGGTGAGCTGCTGACATGGTTAAGGTTCAGGAATTGAGGAACAATTTATTTTTGGAAAAGTGCACAGGAGCATATTGTGGCCAACTAGTAATCTGACTGCCTGGCCACTGGGACTGCGGGGCTGGATGGCATCTGCGTGAGTGAAGGGCTCTGCTGCCACGCTGCCTTACCTTGGGCATCAGAACTTCACAAGCTGTACGCTAGTCTCAACTCAAGCTGTTGGTTTAAAGATTAACTCTTACCACAAGTCTCATAGGCCTAGGATATAATTTATTTTTTGTATCAATTTATTAATATTAATTATTGCCTGCTCTGTACTGAGACCAGCTAGTCCTCAACAGGTTGCAGTTGTTCAAAAGTCAAAATTTTAATGTCCATATATTCTACTCTGAATAACTACTTTAAATATAACAATATGCAGTATATTAACTATTGTTATTCTCCTACTGTTTGGTTACAAATTTTTATTTTTTACTTTTTTGTCTTTTTTTAAAATTTTTTTTTTAATTTTTATTTATTTGTTTATTTTTTGTGTGTGTGTGTGGCCAGCTCAGCCCACCAGGGGGCGGGGCTGGCTGGCATGTGGTGCTGGGGGGATTGAACCGCCGTCCCTGTGCTTTGCTAAGCTTGTTCTAAGTAGGTGTTTAGACCACTGAGCCATCTCACCAGCCCCTTTTTTGTCTTTTTGAGGCAGTGTCTCGCTATGCAGCTCAGGCTGGCTTTGAACTCACTATGTAACCCAGGTTGGTCCTGAACTCCCAACCAGGTTCCTCCCTCAGCCTCCTGAGTGCTGGGATTGCAGGCGTGCATCATCATACCCACCTTGAAATTTTGTTTTGCTTTTATCCATAAAATAAAATAAAGTTATGGTATCAGCAGCCACTGTGGGGAGCCTGCCCCTTAGCTCAGTCCTTTAAGTGGCTGCTTCAACAAAGCAGTCAGGCTCAGGTTGCTGTGGTTCAATCCCCACAACTCAAGCCAGCCAAACCTGCCCTGAAGGCGTTGGGAGAAAAAATAAATAAATAAATAAATAAAATCCTAAGGGGCCAGGGAGATGGCTCAGTAGAGTAAGTGTTTGCCTGGCAAGCACAAGGGCCTGAGTTCAATCCCCAGTTCTGCAAAAATAAATAAATAA